GCAGGAAAAAAATAGGAAAAAAATTCTAATCAATGATGATGAACACAAAATTCCTGGTTTCAGAGTATCAAACCAAAGTACCAAAGTAGATGGAACAACCATTCTTTCAAAATCAAACCAAGAAGTTCACAAAATTTAAACAGTAAGTATAGCTGAAGGACCACACCATGCAGCTGCATTTTGAGACATGGTACCAACACTTTGCCTATATAGCTGTGAGTCAACAGCTATACACACCCACTGCTAAAGTTAATGCATGGCATTTGTCCCCGCTGCAAGAATTCCTCTACCAGCCACAACCAAGTAACTTGCCTTTCAGAGACAGGCAAAATACTTGCAGATTTAAAAAGATGGTGGGGTGGGAGACTGGAAATCAAGATGTGGGTGTTCATGTATTGTTGCACAGCATATTGATGAAACACAGGCAAATAACTTAACTTCAGTTTTCCTCTAAGCTTGCATTTGTGCCTTGCCCAAGATACTGGGACATCTATTTCATTGCCTTTTCATCCTCTTCATTAGGGGATGAAGGGACTCAGCAGTAACCAGTGTTGCCAAAAAAGGAAACACACCACTAACAACAACAGTGACAAACATCAAAAGCAGTTACCTCATCTTTAGGAAAGTAGGGTCGTATGGTGTACACTTTGGAAGTGGGTGTTAATGGAGGTGGTTGAAAAAAGAGGTCATTTGCCCCATCAATAGGCAGCAAACGCTGTGAAAACAAAATACTTAATATGACTGTATGAACAACAAAACCTATCACTCTTGGGTGTGCACTGCAGACTCCCAAATTAACATTTGCTACTTGCAGGCACCCCAGAAGAAGGTGGGGTTGGTATGCTTTACAAATGCAAAGACCTTATTTGAATAGAAAATATCCAATTGGTGTTTTAAAATATGCAGTTGAAACAGCACATTAAGAGTCTGTTAATCTTATCTGCTTTATACTACTTTTTACCAATCATATCTACACTGTCTCTGTATAAGAACATAGAATGTCAGGAGGAAAGGTTTGGTCTGAAGAGGGTTAACTGGCCAGAGGAGACGCTTTATCCCAAAAGCAATGCGCTGATTCAATTTGCTGCGCGCGCAGAGCACCTGTGAGGGGGGAAAAGTACAGCGTCTGAAAAATCCATGAACAAATCTGAACATGGTATAAACAGCAACTTAAGAACATCTGCCAATTTGTTGCAACAAAGCACAGTACAGCTTTATTTAGAGAGGAATAAAAATTTGGAAGACTATGGCTTTTGCTCATGGAATTCCCAACGGCAGACAAGCGTGCGCGTATTGTGCAATTGCGGGCGCAGATAAAAATGCTGTGCGACCTGCAAAGAAACAATGTGAAATGTACAACTAAAGTCGCGGCGCTTCGCATGCGCGTGGGACAGGCAGCATCTCCTTGAGAAATTACTGTAGAGAGGGGAGGAAAATTATTTTAAACTAAGATGTAGGGCTAATGGGCTTTGGACCAGAAAGCCTTCGGCAGACCAATCCTTCCAGACCTCTGATGTGCAACAAAAGGTTTCTCATAAAACAAAGAAAATGTCATTCAGTTGTGAAGTCATATTGATACCTGGAACTCTCCTGCTAGACCACCTCTAAAGGCCCAGGGTTCTTGGTCTCCACTTAAGAACTGTGCTGAAGATTGACTACGACACCCTGTTGAGATCAGATCCAAGCGGAGAATGTTACGAGAAGGGGGATTTCCTGGGTGTCTAACATGTCCAAAAAGCTAAACACACACTTGTGGAAAAAACTCTCTAACTGAGCTAGAATCCAGGGCTGGGGGGCTGAGGCTGTAATAATGTATTATTTATAAACACTTTGTGCTTGCGTGCTAATTGGCAGTATGCCAAAATTGTTATTGCCTATAATCAACTAATCTAAAAACAGGTGAGATGACTCAAATAACACCTCAATTCCAGACCAGAAGGCACAAGAATGGTGCCAAGTGCGATTATATAAGCTTCCCAGATATTTTGTACTTTCTTTTTTTTTTGTATATTTGTGGCAGAAACATGCACTTTATCTATGAAAAGACGACATCTTGGAAGCTACATGGCTCAATAGCTACTAAAATAAATTTGAGATTAAACAAATGCCATTATCACAGCCCCTTGAAAAAAAATGGACCTTTCTGAAGTCACATTTTAGTAATGATTGTTTCTAATCTTGTCAGAAAACTAGGACTGGCAATATTTGCAAACAGTCCAGAATAGTTCAGGCAGTCAGGACAGGTATGAAACCATATTCTGGCATGAGAATATGCAGATTTACATAACCCAGGCTGTACCTTCACTATGCTGCTGGCAAATTAAAAAGCTACATGGCGTTAACTGAGTTAGCTCACAATTTAAGCAGTACACCCTGTCGGCGACAGATAACAGTTTTGCTTTCAGCATCCTTATTTTTGTCTTCCTCAAGCATATCAGATACATTAGGGTCCCTGCTAATCAGTCAGCCACAACAGGCCCACTGAAGCACTCAGCTTTAGTTTACTCAGCTTTAGAAAAGAAACTTCCAATAGCTGTTTAACTTTAAATACTGTTCTGCCAGCAAGGCACTACAGCCTTCAACAATCAACACAAATAACAATTACGTAGGTAAAAAAAAAAAAAAAAAGGCATGGTAACTTGGGTGGAGATTTCAATGACCTGCCTAGTTTTCTGACAAGATGAGCAGCGCAAATACTTTTTCCTTTTGTGGACACCAATATACCTCCTGTTCAAGTAACAGTCTCAGATCAGTACAGGCAAGTATGTTGTGCTAGTCAGAGAGTCCCAAAGTGTGCCAAGTTTGACATTTATGACAGTTTAGGAATATGTTAAATACAAACTACCCTACATACGATAAATTCCAAAAACAATCAAAGCATAAGAATTTGAATTTGGTTTACCCCCACATTTGAGAATTCTCACTCAAAAAGATACCCATCACAATGAGGTTTAGTCAGTAACTTGGAAGACAGTGTCTGTCTGTCCTTTGAGACTACAACTTAACTAGCACTTCCAATTATTACAATAAAGAGCTGTGTGAATGAAGAGCTGTATAAATGAAAAACATAGTTAATGCCTTGGTCGCTGCGCAAATGTGACTTCAGTTCATGCCTATTGCACACCTAATCTATCTGAGCTGCCTCACAGACAAAACCTTTCCATTTTAATTAATTAATGACGACGCGCTGTGAACATCTGGCGCTGTCCATCCAATAGCAGTAGAAACTTGTGCTGAGGGTTCTCCCATCTGTACACAATGGGGAAGAAGACAATAGAAGTCATTAGTAATCCATAGTACTGTACAGCCACACTAATTTAAGGGACTGAATGCTAGCTGGACTTGGGAGGAGAGGTGAAGAAAGTGAACATTCAGTGGACCATTGAGCACACCATTGTGAAAACTAATTTGTTTGGATTTGTAACGTACTTACTAGCTTTACATAATTACGCCTTTTATCAAAAACCTTTGCTCTATATTCACATTAGTGATAAAATGCAAGCTGAAAACAAAAGCATCCCTTCTCACGGAAGAAACATTAGCATATGAGCGTTAAACTGTCAAAAACACTTAAAATTAATTTCTCATGTAATACTAGTTTGAGTACCAGAACAGAACAGTACCAGAGCTGGCTTCTAATGTGAACTATTCAAAATACTGGATGCATTTAAAGATGTGAACTGAACTTTACAGGGACATTGAAAACTGAAGACCATTTCAGCTGAAATCAGTAGGTAGAATGACAATTCTAAAATGTAGTCTTCAGTTGGGTCCTCAATATTCAGAAATTACAAGAATTGCTGCTCTCTTCTACAGCTTTGGCCTGAAGCTTTAAACAGATTCAAAAAGTGAGCATTCTTTCTACCTAAAGGTCAACATTCAGCAAGGACAGTAAAGCTGGGGGAGTTGTGTCATGCTGGTCTTGAAATTGCACAAGACTAAAGTTTTTAAACAGCATCAGGCAGAGTTGTTAACATACTATAATGCTGCAGATTTCTTCCCAAGCTAGTTTTCTTCTCCGTACTTCACAGAAAGCAGTCTTAAAAGCTCTTCTTTATCAACCATATAGGGATATTTAATAAGCACAAAGCATAGAAAAAGTTGTTGAGCATGGACTGACTCGATGACATAACAGGCCTTCTCTGTCTGTCCCTGCTTAAACCTGCCAGTGTTTAAGAGTATCATTTAAAGACAATCCAAACACTAGGATTAGAACAAGGCTGTGTAATGGTTGACCACTGTGAGGTTTGCGACAGCTACAAAAAGTGTGACGTGAGACCACCAGCTTTGCTGCCTGCTGTGTATATCATCAAGCAAGTCCACAGCATATTCCTTATTGAAACCTGGAAGTGAAATGAGGTCACTAGAATTACCCAGGCCATGCTGGTGCTATCTGCCCTCTTAGGATCGCCAAAAATCTTTCAGGAAAAAACAAAACAAAAAACACAACAAAAAAACCCAAAAAGCCACACATTAAAAAAACCAGAAGGAAAAAAACCCAAAAAACAACCTGTTTCAAGATCAGTTTAAGTCTCAGACTATATGTTTAGAGAGCTCCATAATTTCCACCCCTTATCAAAAAATGATTTAAAAAAATAAATAATTTGGAAACCTTTAAAGGAAATTACTTTGCACCAGAATAGCCTTACGCTAAAGCTCGCATGCGCACAGGGCCGGGAGGATCAGCTTCCTCTTGGCCAGGCCCATTGAAAGGTCGCTTCTGCAATTCTTCTGTTGAAGACAGCAAGAATGTTATCAAGACAGAGCAAGCAGCAGATGGCTGATGTGGTCACATTTCGTAGTGTCATTTCCAATCTTACACCAGGGTATCCAAGGAGTTACATGGCATAGAGTCCAGTGTGCATTCAGTCAAGAGTAAGTTAAAGTCAACACTTACGTGTCAGCTGAGATTCAAGTTTCATTAGCCCAAGAAGAAAATCAAGGTCTCCAATCTTAAACATCCAGCAGGCTCCTTACAATACTAAAGCAAATTCACAGCAAGCATTGCTTCAAATAGTGAGACAGGAAAACCTTTAAAAGAGGGTCAAACGAGACCCCATGTCCAAGAAAACACATTTGCCTACTATTTTGTTTTCCCCGTGGGCTAATTAAAAACAAACAAAAAAATACACTATCTGGGATTATAATGGCTCCCAATGCACCTACCTAACCACTGCACAAAAGATTTCACCATTGACATAATACTCTTGATATCCCAGACGTAGGAGTACATGTCATAAAGAATTGTTCTGTTGGCACAATTGGAGAGACGAGTGAACATCCCCATCACCAAGCTGCACATCTCTTCAAACTTGGCTGCTCGGTTACGCCATTCTTCTATCTAAGAATGGAGGCAAAACACCCACAAGATCAAACACATCATTCTAGAAATGTATTCTACATATGGAGGAGGATAATACAATTCATTACTTCACACATGAAGACTACCACATCACACATGACTCACAGGTACTCTCTATGGCTGTTAGAAGTGAGGCCAATGTGGGGATCACTGGTCAAACACAGTCACCAGACTGCCTTCGTGGCACTAAAACAGGGCTTAAACCAGTAGATTCCACTGAAGGAATAAAAACTACTGTGATCTGAGGGTAGTTACACACTACCTTTCAGCTTTTAGGAAGCTGAACACCAGTCTCTACTACAGAGAAGAGATAACACTGCTCAGAATTTTCATTGAAAAGGAAACAAGATTCACACTCACTTTTTCAGCATCCTTTCCTTTGCAATTAACACTGACAACACTGCTATTTGCTCTGAGCCACTGGAATTCTCTCAGCATCTGTGCACCTTTGGGCCCATGTTCATAAGGAAGGTAAAACAAGTCAGCGAGAAGCTGCAAGTCCTCTAATGTCACTGGTTCTACTGTGTAGAGAGGCTTTTCATTTGGCCCAGGCACAAACTGTTCTTTGTTAATTTGCTCATCAGTCTGCATAGGGGCAACGTCGCTACCAGAGTCTTCCTGCATAGACATCTCTGGGGACTTTGATTCAGCTATACTCTCCTTATCGGTATCCATTGGCTTCAACTCCTCTGCCATCTTGGCTTCGGCAATATCTGTCAGTATCTGATTAGCATTCTTGTCTGTATCATCTTGTTTTTCCACCACCATATCCATTGGTTCCTCATCAGATTGCTTCTTCTCCTCCTCCTTCCCCAGGGCTGGTGACTCGCTGCTCAGGGCTGCCCCCTGACTCATGATGGGTTCTTGGTAAACTGTGGTAACCACAGTTGCTGCATTTAAAGAGGATGGTGCCACCAGAGGCCCCACATCCCCTACAGTAGTTTTAGCACCACTGTGGGCCACTTGCCTACCTGAGAATAAGAAAAAGCAAGTTAAGGGTTTTCAGTATCTGCCAACTAAGGTACAAATCAGGCACTTCTGAAAACCATGGATGCCATGGCATCTGATAAGTGCATCTTCCTTCTGGCATTTTGCCTGTTCATTTTTGTCATTGTAATTCTAATTAGAGACTTAATCTTCTGGCAAGTTTCCCCCCCACATAACTGATAAGCAAAGACAGGATGAGAAAAAATGTTGGAAAAATTAGTTAATACTTGTGTGCTGCCAGCAGCATTTCTGACTATGCCATCAGAATAAAAAGCTCTCAAAGTTAACTTTTTTTAAAATCAGTTGATGCAGAGGAAATTTCTTAATTGGATATAGAGCACACTTCAAAATAAACTTAAATACTTCATCATTTGCAAAAATGTCTAACCTAGGAAAAAGGGAGATACTCAAAACCTGAGTGGACAGTCTTGGGCAAACTTCTCTAAACTCACCCTGCCTGAGTAAGAGGTGTTAGACCAGGCAATGTCAGGAGGTTCCTTCCAACATAAACTGTTTGGTGAGAATGGAGGAAGATGACACCTTAATTACTACTCCTCTCCCAATGTTTTTGCTGTAGCTGAGATTCAAAACTCTCCAACAGGTCAAAAAGGTAGCTGCACCAAAGCAGAGTTGGGAGAAGTTCTTCCATTCCACCACCAGTTATCAGAAAAGGGCACTTCGACCACCTCAAACCCACATTTGAGAAGAACAGATTTTACCTCAGATCCCAAGCTTCCATTGCTACAAGAAAGGTGTACAAAGTTGAAAGAAACCCAGCTGGTTTCTGCAGACAGAAACTCAGAAAAATCAAGCTATCTTAAAACCACTGGAACAACAGAGGGTCTTCTGGGGCAGAACTAATGTTTATAATCATCTAAGACCCACTTCAGAAAAGACTATTCCTATTCTCTCAGGTCCCATAGAAGCCTAGAAACAACTGGGACTAGCAAGATGCAGACTCTATCCTGTCAAAGGATCACATGTCAAGGTTGCTTCTGCTGATCAGTCAGGGCACTACAGGCACACTACAGAATGCCAAGCATTCTTCTACCTTTAATAAAATTTCCTCCATTAGCAATTCAAACTGAAAAGTATACAGATTTCCAAGATCTGTAAAATAGTTTTAATCTAAATGCAAGTACTGAACATTTAACCACATATTCTGCCAACCCCAGAACAATAGCAAATCAAACTCACTGCTGTATTGCTGAGGTACCCCAAATTCCTGCAACCATTCTGTTAAGGCCAACTTCAGGGCCATTTGTGGGCTGTAGAGAACATCTGTTTCAATATCTTCATCGCTCCCCTCATTTTCCAATTTAATCTGGATAGAAACTGTACTGTCTTCAGTATCAGCTACAGAGAGAAGTTTTAAAAAGTTATCAGGCAAGTTTCTTTTAAAATAAAAGAAAAATCATGTTAGACAAGGCATTCAAAAGCCTTACTTTGAAGAAGGACAAAGCATTACATTCTAACTAAACAAAATGGAAAACTATGGTCACCATCAGTGTCAACACAAACAGTGTAGAGAAACTAGACATTCTGGCACTCAGAGCCTCTTTTCTGATCTGAACTGCTTCTATTCCAATGAAATCAAATCCAAAGACATAAAATTTGGGAGCTTAAACTGCCTGCTTAGAGTGCTTTTTTATACAACCATAGATATGTCTCAAGACATAAGAAATTCTCTGATAGCATGTGCTACAGATACTACCCAGGAAGTCAATAAAACAATCTAGATACTTCTTATCTTTCAGACAATTGCCATTTACTTATGGGACAGAAAAATCTAGGTGACCTTGGAAAGAAGATTGATAAGGAAAGGCTACAATTATTAAACAAAGCAAAAATCAGTATGCCTTGTATGGTTAAGCATAGATCCCAACAAACAGGTACGAATACTTACTCATCACCACATCTTTTCTCACACCATTCATGTTAGACTTGTACCAGGTTGCAAGCGTGTGAATAGCAACATAGTTGGCTTCAAATTCACAGTTTGGATTGGTCAGAACTCCCTTCAGTCGAGGGATAAGCTCAGTTGACCGACCTTTGTAAGGCCCAAGAAAAAGTCGCTTTTGATCATAATCATTAGCATGAATATTATCCCAGATAACTGGTGCTCTCCTGATGATCTTAGATACTTCTTCAATGGATTCTACTGGAATGTCTTTGGATACAACTTTTGGACCTAAAAGGAAAAACAGGATAATCAGAGAGCTTGGCATACTTTTAAAGATTCACTCCCAAAGCAGCTGGACAGCTTATTTTACTAAATACTTATGAGAAATAATTTTTAAGACAAGTAGGGAATTAAAAAAAAAAACACAACCCAGCAAACACCCAAACAAACAATTTTTACCTGTCCACAACACCTCAATGCCAGGGAGCAGCTTTTCTCCTACAGTTCGTAAATACGGCGACTGGGCAACATTAGGATAACAGAAAGTTCCACAGTACTCTGTACAGGAAAAGAGAATGTTGCTCATAGCAAGGGTGCCCATGTGTGACATCATACCCAACTGTCCCACAAACACACTGACAGAACACCACCATCTGAGAAAAGTCTATAAAATTAATCAAGAAATGCCCCAAAGTCTATAGTATAAATGAAAAGGACATAATGAATGATACTTCATATAAAGATAAAAAAGGAAAGGTAGAAAGTTTATTTAAAATAGCTCAAATGTCAAAATTCAGAAAAAAACTAGGAGTCCATAAATAGAAGGGCAGGCTACAGCAGACAATATGCAAGAGAAATAGAAACCCCAAGAGTGATTATGAAGTGCAAATACCTAAAACATTAACACCAGAACACGTCTTTAAGTTAAAGAGGAGGTGTGCAACAGAACCAAACTACTACAGTGTAAGGGAACAAACAAATTAACAATGATGATAACACTGCTACTGAATTCCATCTTCTTTGCAACAATCCATACTACTGAACATAGTAATTCTCTCTCCCGTACAATATTCTTGCAGGTATAAGAGGACACTTGCAATTTTAAAAAAACTAGTGATTGGACCCATGTGCAAATCATCTTATTTTTCAGTGAAAAAATAAATAAAGCACCTCTGTGAATAGTAAAAGTGGATAATTGTATTAAAAACAGGTACCAAGTGAGCACAGGCTGTGATGTACCTCTATTTTAAAGCGATTCTAACAAAGTCACAGCTAGCCAGAGTTAGAAGCAAAAACACTTTGGTACAAGTCAAATAGCAGCTTTCCTTTAATCTAATTTTCAGTTTAAACCTCTTGGATCATTTTACCAAGTCGCCTTCTTTGCTTGGCATTAAACCTGTCAAGAGATGTGTAGATTTGGCAAAACCTCTGCACATATTTTAATTACTTAAACACTTCCTTGTAAGTAAGTTCATTTCAACAACCTCAAAATATTCCTTACAGCAGTGAGTAAATATTAAACCAGTGTTTCAACCAGTAAGATAATATGCCCCTTCCTTTAAAGCTGATCTAAATTATTAATATCATTTTACCTGTAGGACAGAAAAGGAATGTGTCTGGTTCTCCTAGATATTGATAAATTTCATTTGTGATTGAGACTTGAGCATGAGCAAAGGAACTGAAAACTTCTTTGTCTGCTGCACACATGTTGTGATCAATATCATCAAACAGCAGTGCAAAAGATCTGCAGCCAAACTGGGAAACCTAATACAAGAGACAAGAGGAAAATGTTAATTTTTTTTAATTCTTAAAGCTTTTTTAAAATCAACCCACGGAATTTTTATAAGGAAAAGGTACAGTAGTGAGGGAGAGAAGGCAGGGGAGGCAAGACAAACTTTGGTGGCAGTGAATGCCTATTTCTGACTCACTGCTCTGCTCCTCTCAAAGATTAGACCTCTGAAGGTGTGCAATTGGTTCCAGTTTTAACAATCCAAAGCTGATGTCATAGGACATACATCTGGAAAAATGCTAATGCTGTAATAGCTTCTGGACAAAAGAAAGGAGTCAGTCAGGAAAACAAAGATGTGTATGTCACATCTGCCTCTGAAGGGGTTTACTGTGGATAAAGAGCTCTTGCTTTAGAAATACATCTTGATTTCAAGGCCCTAAAGTACTCTGAAGATAAAGACCCAAGAACAGCCTTTAGAATCCAATAGGAGACTTTTTTTTTTTTTAAATCTAGATGATCCCCAGCCACTTCTGCAATGCAACCCGAAGTCTCCGGATAATATCCTGAAGCAAACAGGGGTCCAAAAAAGCTGTCTGATATTTAAGGATCACCTTTTCCAGGCCCAAGAGTGATGCATTCCAACTAAGAGAAAGTCAGGTAAAACCTCCAGGAGGCTTGCGTGGATGAGTAAACAGCTCTTAGAAAAGCTCAAACTTAAGAAGGAAGCACAGAGAGGGTCAAAGCTAGGGCAGGTACCCTGGGAGGATTACAGAGAGATTGTCCGAGCAGCTAGGGATTGGGTTAGGAGAATCAAATCCCAGACAGAATTACATCTCGACAGGGATCTAAAGAGCCATAAGAAAAGCATCTATAGGTATGCTGGGGATAAAAGGACGACCAAGGAAAATGTAGGCCCTCTCCTGAAGGAAATGGGAGACCTAGCTACACAGGATATTGAGAACACTGAGGTTCTGACTTTTTTTAATCAGTTTTCTCTGACAAGGGCCACAAAGATGATCAAAAGGCTGGAGCACATCTGCTATGAAGACAAGCTGAGAGCTGGGGCTGTTCAGCCTGGAGAAGAGAAGGCTCCAGGGAGACCTTTTAGGAGCCTTCTAGTACTTGAAGGGGGCCTACAGGAAAGCTGTGGAGGGGCTTTTCACCAGAGAGGTTAGTGATAGGACAAGGGGTAATGATTTGAAACTGAAAGAGGGGAGATTTAGACATCAGGAAGACATTCTTCACCATGAGTGTAGTAAGGTGCTGGAATAGGTTGCCTAGGGAGGTTGTGAAAGCCACCTCCCTGGAGGTGTTTAAGGCCAGGATGGATGGGATTTTGTGCAGCCTTGACTAGTGTGAGGTGTCCCTGCTCACAGCAGGGAGGTTGTAACCTGATGATTTTTAAGGTCCCTTCCAACCTCAACCACTCTATGATTCTATGACTTCCACTGGAAGTGTTCAGAGACACCAAAAAACCTAACACTAGTGCTGAAAACATTCAAGAACTAGTGAAAAACTGTGAGAGTGAGCAAGGTAATGACGTTTTCAAATTAAGTAGCACTGCAACTGTGGAAACTGTCACACCTACCTGATCCAGCTTGCGTTTCAATGTGGATACCTCTTTAGGATTGGAGAAAGTGATATCAAGTCCAGGTGAGATTGCATAGATGAACTCTATTTCGTGTTCTCGTGCAGCTGATATTAGAGTCATTAGCTGCTCTGTAAATCAAATCCAAATATTTCAGAATAATTCAACAATTAAAAAGAAGTCTCAGAAATCTTAAGTAAATTATAAAATGCAGATACACCTGCTACCATAATAAAATAAAAATTTGCTAGCATTTCTTAAAACTAGCACAGAAAAGAGCTCCAAATTACTTGGAAGAGTTCTCAGAAATTATGCTAAAATAAATATAACTGTCCTTGCATTGTTATTTTCCATATTACAATTTTTTAAAATATAAAGAATTATCTTTATCTCAATGGTGCAAGACAAATGTGGTTGTAGTCTGTTTCTACAGTATGCACACCCACACTTCTGGAATTATGACTCACTTTTCCCACTTTTGTCACACATACTAAGAGACAATTCAATGTAGTAACAGCACCATGCATGACACATTCACCTACTACTCACATGACTGAAGTTTAGGGCACAAGCAAAAATGCTTTTTTAATATCACTGTGCAGAAGTAGTTGCTTTAAGAAACAAATTCCAAATATAATCTTCCATATGATGAAAGAGAATTATTTTTAGAATATTTAACAATCTTTATTGTTACTGACAATTATTTTGCAGTACCCCTTAGATTACATTTCTGCAGTGCTCCGAAGTAGCCTCCAAGATGGATTATTTAATTTCAAGCGAGTATAATTTTTCCCCTCATCCAAGGAAAATTATAATCCCCACAGGGCAATAAACACTGTAGAGCCCATAAGTGCCAGAGATGGATAAAAAGCCTCACACCAGCTTAAACATGTCTTCTCTGTTCTGACTAAAAAGTCAGAAGCTTCTTTTCTAGCTGGTACTAGCTTTGTTGAGAGAAGAACTGAATGAATCATGCAAAAGGGAATGCTATCTGCTCATCTATCTTTTCTGAAGCAAATAATTTCTACTTCAAAATACAGTCCAGATGTTCAAGAGACAGAGGAATAACTTTCCCTGGTAAAAATAAATCTCGTAAGACAAACCTAAAAGCAGTTTTAGAAATCGTCTGCAGATGTATATAGTAAAAAGAGGTAAAGCCATGCTTGTATGAGAGATCCACGTAATACAGCTGCAGGGTATTAAGAACAAGTCTCCACTCACCTTTGGAAATAGCTACTGTGATTAAATGCACCTAAGCATATGTAGCAATGGTCAATTAATTCAAAAGTCTACTTATAGAAAACACAGAGGGGAAATAAAGACAATTACCCGCTTCCTCCACAGAGTACATTTCTCGCCAGAACATCCTGTGCTTGTAGTCATCCTTTGGAGCATACAGGTATGTATTTAATCCCCACTTCTGAAGTCTATAAACACAGGAAAATAATCCTTCATTGGGAAAATAGTCTATCAATTTAGGAATTCTATGTTTTACTTGATCTAATTCTTTTTTTCTTCATTGAACATTGTGTTATACTATTAAGACACGATAACTTTACGCACAGCTGATATTGGACAAATCCAGTTTAGGCAATAAGGTAAGGTGAATGAACCCCCAAAAATACTGGTATTAGGCAAAAAGCTGCCCTAGGTTAGAACAATACTTCTCTTCAGGCTTAAGTGGAAGATTATGATCATATTGTGACGGAATGTGCTGCAGTAAGAGGAAGCATGACTTGCCTTCTAAAAAGTTCTTTTCTTTGCTCCATAACCCAAGGTCTTCCATAAAATCCTACAGGAAACAAGATTAAAAGTATCCAGTTAGATGTTAGATTACGCCTGCTCCACGAAACATTATATTACAACTCCTGTTTCTCTTCTGCTGCTGCTACATTCATCAAAAAGCTTCCAAAACCAGAAAGGAGAAAAAAAAAATCTAGCTAATCCTAATGCTGGACAGCATTAGGAAAGTGTAATAACCTAAACTGATCCAAAATTTAAATACAATTTTAATTATTTCTTATGATCCAAGCTCTTATAATGTTGGCTACTGAAGCAAATAATTTTCAGAATCCAAAATGTAATCCTGAACATATGCCCTTGACAAGTCAGCATTATTCTAAAAGCAGATTTAACAATCATAGTCTAATTAAACTGTAACTCCAGACACCTACAAAATAGATTTGATTGTAATGTGAACACTGAAAACACTTTAATATATTTACCAGCTCAAAAATGCTTAACCCATGGTACAGATCAAAATGTTAGGTACACACAGAGAGTACATAAATACAGACTGAGGCAGATGATGCATAATTAAAAAAAAATGTGCAAGTGAGTCAACAAAATGCTTAGGATTTTATTCTGTCTATTCAGTGTAAAAGGATTCTTGTCAAAATCAACTTGCAAGTCGGTATCTTAACAGTTCCCACAAATTTACAAGCTAAGAGTACTTATCTGAATAATCATTACTCATCTACACAAGAGGTTTTGTAATAGTTTATATTTAAAGCCATGAAACTCCATGGAAATTGTAACTGCTTCTGGTTTTAAGCCTAATCCTTCCATTCTAGAAACATAATACTTTAAAAAAACACTCTCAATGTACTCTTAGTCAAGTAAATTCACTTAGACATATGTGCAAACAGTTCAACCACAAGTGGGCACTTCAAAACAAAGCTTTAGCTTGGCAACCTGAGCAAAGACCAGAGCCTAAAATAACACTGAAATTTAATAAGCTCTTACAGTCAAACTGCACGGCCACTCAGTGATGAATGATGCTCCTCATACACAAAACTCACAAGCTTCCACAGAACACTAGTTAAAAAGGTAGACAATACCTTCATTTCCAGAATTGTTCATCATTGTAAATCCACAAATATTTGGTCTCAGAGGTCAAAAACACCCTCCTATCACCTTTCAAAATAGATGCAACTGAAGTATTTTCCATATATTAACAAGTATTTCAGTTACTTGCTAAGTGAACAATGCTCTTTTAAGAATCTTAAATCAGGCTTAAGTTTTAAGCATTAGTCTCTCAAAGAGTGATCTAAGACTAAATGGCACCACGAAGCGGGAAAGCTGAGTAACTGCTACTCCACACAAACTGCAAGTGACAAATTGAGGACAGCTAAACAGAGAAAGAAACAAGAGAGCAGTTGCAAGGCGTGAAAACCTCCCAGTTTGTTTCACTCAGAACAAATGTCTCATTTTCACTAGCATTACCTAATTCTGGCTGATGCTGCCCTGAGGAAGCTCAACAACCACAAAAGGAATTAATTAGTATGATACCTAATGAATACCACTTATGTCTCATCGCTTGTTCAGAACACACTTGCTTTATCTGACACTGTTTCAGACCTACTAGCCTAAAGCAGAACAGCGACCTTCTATAAAAAAAACCATGAAAATCAGGTAACAAACTAATTATATCAGACTGAAGAGAACATGCTAATCCAAAGCAATACTTTTCCATCTGTCACCACTTTTCTTAGATTACTAATGTCATCAGCTAATGATAATTCTTGGATCTTTCTAAGCAACTGAAAAACGACCTGGTTTTGTATTTCAGGTTAATACAAAGACGACAGATCATGACAAACACCTCATATCCCAGTTACCATGCTCCCCCCAACTAAAAGCCAGGATATCCTGGAGGCAGAGCACAAGAGCTTCATATTGAGTACTCTCTTAGATCTCATTACTCCCCAAAATAGTGAATTAGATATCTGTCATAAGCTCTTCCAATTATTTGGAGTGCACACCCAGTATTTGGCCAGCCCCCTCTGCCTCCTTTCCTACAAAGATCCAAACACTCCATCTCATTGCTTTAATCCCCATCCTACCTCTGGTCTGTGTTAACCACTGCACTGTGTTTAAGTATTTATCTATGCTTCTGAAGTTAATCCCTGTTTTTCTCTTAACCCTGTAATTCTCTTGATGCACTAAAGAGACAGATGTTCCCACCCACCACCATGTACCTAATAGGCCACAACAGATTTTTCTGTTCATTTTGGGGGGGGGTTGGGTGCAGTTTTTTTAATCACTTGTCTAATTGATTTCCCCCCCCCCCCCCTCCCCCATGTGCACGTCAATGTAAGACTGGAAACTCCTAACTAGTGTTAGACTGCCTCACTGGGCAGAGACCATTTTCTTGCTTTGCATTTTGGTCACTACAGTCAAGAACACCTGCACCAAAATATATGCAGATAAGATCAACAATGTAACTAAGATGACAAGAAAAAAGACTATGGTATACACAGTGGTTCTGATATAAACCTGGATAAGCTGATGATCCATGAAACTATGCTGTTACAATCTGTATTTCTGTTCACTATTGTCTGACTCCAAAGCTTTCAATTTTGCATCTATCTTCACAGAATTAAGTCTATTAACAAAGTAAAGGCATCTCTCTCCACACTGACTGCATTTGAGCTTTAGTAAGTGCTAAAAAATATGGGCATTAACTGGGCTCAGTGCACTTCACACCATGACGTTTGCAGGAGCCAAACGGTCTTAATTTTTTTTAAGATATGAATAAAAGCCATTCTGCAAGCAACGCAGAAACTGACTTAGATAAACCACCTGTTTCACCCTCCATTCCATCTGTTAATAATTTGTTCACCTGCTGGAGATTCATTATAGGCAGAGAAAGAATAGCAGTCCCCAGGAGTTCATAAGAATTCGAGATCAACTATTATGCTAGGAATAAACCGTTTTTTCTTGCTGGCTTTCAGCCTTAGTTGATGTCTCAGAAATGCAGATAAATTCTGTAGTTACTGAAGAAATGCAAAAAAGTCCCTTTATTTTGCAACTTCTGCAACAATTTAAACCTTTTAACGCTGCAACTATACCAAAAGACAGAAAATCACTGCTCTACAGAGCAATAAAAACAGTAAGCTGCAACATGTTCGAGAGCAGGAAGCATTTCATATTGATTCTAGAAGAGATGCCTACGGAATCACCTCTTCCTTTCCCAGGAAACTGAACCTGGGCCTCTGGTGCACAGGAAGAGGCACACGCAGCTGCGATAACCGCACGGTAGATTGCTTTCTCCCTCCTGCTTCCCTCTGAAGATATGTGCTAGGAAGGGAGCCACGGAGCTGCCTCAGCCTCCGCTAGGAATCCCGGGCTCGCCAGGGCTGCCAGGCCTGCCCTCAGC